TGATCTTTTGGTATCTGGAAAAACTAATTCACAATATATAATAGGCCAATCTTTTATGATACTAAAAATAGTTGTGTGAATATAAGAAAATACTTTATATGCTTCTCCGAAGTATTTAATAGCCAGCTATCCCATCGAAGTATCAAATTAATTGGTTTCTTTCATAAATCTCTCCCTTGAGATTACCTATACTTTAAGGGGATTGACTATTCTAAGCTTCTAGAAAAAATTCAGCCTAGCTTGGAGATTGGAGCAAAATCTTTTATCATTTGTTGATATGTTTCAACTTGTCAAATCCATTAATTGGAGTTATATTTATTATTAATTTCATTCAACAATTATTTCTAAGGGTTTAAGAAAGATGGTATCTTCCCCCATTAGCAATTTCCTACATCATAATGTGGTTGAATATAAAATGCACACTATTGTTTGGGACACTATTGTTAAACCTAAAGATTGTGGAGGCCTTCGATTCTAATCTTAATACTATCAATCTCATGTGTAAGACCAAAACTATTTGGAGGCATTATAATTCAAATTCTTAATTGTCTAATTGTCATCTTAATAAGTATATATCACATTGGCATAATAACAGTCATAAAACATCCCCCTTTTAGAAAGGCTTATGCCAAACATGCACTAAATTAATGACAATCTCTCTTTTCAAATACGCAACGATAGTAATTTACTATTTTTCTTTAACTTTTGGCCTAATGGCTTTTTTCTACATGAAAAATATGGACAATAAGTTTTCTATTGGTTAACCTATCTAATGTTCACTAAAGCTGAAATAATTGAAAACAATAAATGGGTTCTTCCCGCTACGCAAGTTGCTATGAATAATTACATTTAACTCATTAATGGCATCCCCATTGGTGACAACCAACATGCTTATTATTGTAAAGGGAATGATACTTTCTCTAACTACAAATTCCACACAAACTCATATAACAATCTATCTAAATCTGATTGGTGTAATTTATTAAAGGCCCCTCTTTCAACTTTGTTGCTATTAATTGGTAAATCTTGACTATAGGAATGCAAACTAAAGAGGCTCTTTCTATTAGAGGGTTAAATTGTCAATCACAAATGTGTTCTTTACAATGCCCATATATCTGTTCATTCTCTCTGTCTTCTTAAAAAATGCATAACTGATGAAAATATCTTTTATATTGGGTGTAGTATGGCTCAAACTCTACTATATGTTGATACAATTGATTTTTATATAATTAAAAAGTTTTTTCCTCCTAGCTATTTCTATAATAGCTAACGACATATGGCTTGAACAAAATAAAAGAAATTTTAAGCAGATCAACACTCTCATTGAGAATCTTATCAAACATGTGCATATTGATATCACACTTAAAAGCAAAAATAAAGTTAAAAATTGAGATTCTTGATACTATAAAAAGTTTAGACGTTAAATTATTCACAGTTTTCTGCATAGAGACTCTACAAGCTTCTCTTTATGTTGTTATGTTTTACAATTGCTCTATTTTATTCTGCTTACGACTACTGTCACTCATACAAGCTACTCTCTTCTACAACTCTTAAATGCATAAATTTACTTTGGTTGCTTCTGGATTTTGTTATTTATCAATAGATGCTTCACTTGATCTACACAATTTCATTATTGTTACTTTTTTCTCTATTATTTAAGCATTACATTATGAATATGTTTTATTATTATTATTATTTTTGCACATTTCTTCTCTTGTTGGTTTGTCATTTTATTTTTATGTTTTCATATATTTTTGAAATGCCTTAAAATTACTATACTTGGATTTATATTGATCTTTTATGGGTTTGACCGTTCTTTTACTGAATACATCAAGTCTCCCGTATAACTTTTGAGTAGATATTATACTACATGTTCATTTTTGTCTTCTTCGGTTTGCTATTTTTCTCACTTTTTCCACAAAAATATATAGTACATTGGATTCTCCTTCTATGTTATTTTTTTGAACTTCTATGAAAACTTTTGGCAGAGTCTACATTTACTCTTTTGGCATCTCCCTTATTGGGTTGTCTCTTAGTTATGGTGATGGTTCTCTCTTATTCACTACTTCCTAATGCCCTAAATCATCTTTGTTTTATTCTCATCCCTTAGGGAGAAGCTTATGAATGATTACTACACTTGAACTTTTTATCTCTTTACTGGATAATTTCGTTTCTTTTCAGTGATAAGGATGGACTTTTACGCTTATAATTTAGTTTTTTGGAGGAGCTTTATGAAAACCAACCTTCAGTGGCTCAAATAGTTATTTGGAGTCTTGGTGTAACTATTAGGTTCTATGTGTATATTGTTAGTTGACCTGATTTTTGCAAGGGCAAGCACAAGTACACGCGTCCCACAAGTAATACAGTAAATTTTAGTAAGAAATCACTCCCACAAGGATACGTTGTGTTTATCGAATAAGAAAATTAAATACTTAAAAACCCTAAATTTCTATTAGAAAATTAGATTTTTCAAATGTTACTTTTAAATTTTTTAAAATGATAATAAAAATAATGTGATAGACCTATAAAATTGTAATTTGTATATCCAAAGAAATAAGTTTTCATATAAAATTTACTTTCAATCAGAAAAATGAGTAACTTCTAGCCTCCCTTGATGGTTAAAAATCAAAATTTTGAAATTCTTAAATATTACTTGTCTTTATAAATAGAAGATTTCAAATTGATATTTTGAATTTCCCTAAATAATTGCTAAGGTTCAGAAGCAATATATTTATTCTTTTGAACCCTAGTTATGTTTCTTCCTTGTATAAATTGGGACACTATATATATCACTAATCTCCTCGATATTTTAAACAAAAGTGTACCCTAGTTATGTTTCTTCCTTGTATAAATTGGGACACTATATGTATCACTAATCTCCTCGATATTTTAAACAAAAGTGTGGCTATCACTATTACTAAATTAAAATGAAAGAAAAATAAACTAGCATTCCAGTTTATTGAATTTTAAAGAACACATCAATTGGAAATTGAAATACAAACCGCAAATTCAAAGGTTAGCCTAACATGATTAAAACATCAACATAATGAAAAAGTTCCATTCAAACTAATAATCAATAAAGTTTACAATTTAAAATAAAAGAAAAACACATAAATTAGGGAACTCAAAATCCCTTAATGAAATCTAATCTCTATAGTGGAAAGTTCCCCAAATCTCTATCCTTGCTCTTTCCTTTTACTCTGCCCTCACACTTGCTCAATTTGGCTATGCACATTACCACATAAAACTTCACACACACACACACACACACCAAAACTCTTCTTGACTGACATACACTCTAATAAACTCATCCTCCAATAGTTCTTTGTATGTTTAAGACTTATAAGTCAAATAGTTGTCAATCTCCAACCCAAATTCATGAACTTAAAAAGCATAATTATTACCATCGGGTTGTTGCTCTGCAATGCTTTGGCTACAACATTGCGGCACTGGCACAACATTGTGGTACACTAAGTCTGAAATTGCGGCATTAAGCTCTATCTCTTTTGGTTTTATCTTTTGGCATCGATAACACTACAGTGCTCAAACTAAATCATTGCAACTCTCTATGTTACAATACGCACTCAAAGTTTTGTGTTGTAGTGCCTTGCTCTCTGAAAAGTTCCTAGAGATATTTCTATGGCGCCTAGAAAGTCGCACTTGAGCTCTTCTTAA